CTGCATGATTCTGCTAATCAGCTTTCCGCATGGAAGTATTGATCCAAGTAAGTATTGAATTTTTCTTCTTATCCCCTATCAATCTTCTGTAGTTTTTGAAGATTTTCTTTTGGAGCATGTGTGCATCAGACAAAGCAATGCTTTACAAGCGGTGGCTTGAGCACATTTTTAGCATCAACCTTTAAACCCTGTGGTGTCTTTGAACCAGTTAATCATCTTGAGACTGATTGAGTTCTCTGTAGATTTTGTCTTAGCTGATTTTCAATGGGTTTTCAACTTAGATTAAAGAGTTTCCTTTTGTGTATCCTTTAGTCCCATCTGTCCAATGCTGTTAGAGAAAATGAGTTTTTACTGCTAGGATAACTATTATGCACTCTCATGTTGAGTGGCTTAAATGGAATCATAATAGGTAGGATAGGATTTTGGGAAGTATTAAAAAGATGTGATTTTGACATACTTTTGCTTCTCTCTTATTTTAATAGGCATGGCTGGCCTTGCTGTGACTTATGGTCTTAACTTGAATGCCCGCCTTTCAAGATGGATACTTAGCTTTTGCAAGCTTGAGAACAAAATAATTTCCATAGAAAGAATATACCAGTACTGTCAAATCCCAATTGAAGCCCCGCCAGTTATTGAGGACTCTCGCCCTCCGTCTACATGGCCAGAGCGTGGGATGATTGAACTAATTGATTTGAAGGTATACGGAACCTTTTTTTACTCTACTTGTTAACGTTTTATTTTCAGAGTTTGAGTTTTTATCTGCTGCTGTTTGATCATGCTACATATACACATTATTTTCATCAACCAACTGGCCATCATCCCGGTTGGTGGGGGTTTGTATTGGGTGCACAAACGCTGGGTCCAAATCCTACCACAAGCTAAAAAAAATAGTTTCCATCCCTGTGAGTTTGTGTCTAGTTGTCTCAATAAACAGGTTATAATAGGTCTTGCATGAGAATTTAGAGTTAATTTTTTGCGGAATTGGTCCTATGCTAAGTTCATTTGGAATTTTCAGAGAAGCTTGGCAGTATGTGGTGTTAAATATTACTGCTTGCCCTATTGCTATTTGATCAGCTAATATCGAAAGACTTACGAGACAGGTTTGACCAACAGGCAATAGCTTGTGAGGGCCATTGGCCACCATTGCTTGTCAAATATAATTACACCTAGACTGCTATTGCATTTAGTCTGTCTTTTATTGTGACCAAGAAGCAGTCTGTAATTTAAGAAGACCTTCTTGTTGATTATATTATAATTTGCTCGGAGAATCTTTATTCGAAGATTGTCTCATAAATGACCAAAAGGATGGTTTCAGGTTCTCGCTTTCAATCCAACTGCTAATATTAGGCTTTGTTGTCTTTGAAATATTTACCAAAATGTGACCATCTTGATCTTATACTGGAAAGTGTGAGAGGAGAGTGGGTGGGGAAGGTGTCCGTTCGTGGAATTTTCTAGCTTAAAAGGTTTTAACTTCTTAAACTAGCTCCTTTTAACTCCTAAGTTTCCTAATGTCGATCACAAGATGCTGATTGTTCCAACTTCTGCAGATACGTTACAAGGAGAGTCTCCCCTTGGTGCTCCATGACATAAACTGCACATTTCCTGGCGGAAAAAGGATTGGCATTGTCGGGCGTACTGGTAGTGGCAAATCAACCTTAATTCAGGCCCTGTTTCGCTTGATTGAGCCATCTAGTGGGAGAATCGTTATAGACAAGATCGACATATCTAAAATAGGGCTCCATGACCTTCGAAGTCGCTTGAGTATCATACCCCAGGATCCTACATTGTTTGAAGGAACTATAAGGGGCAATCTCGATCCCCTTGAGGAGCATTCAGATGTCGAAATTTGGCAGGTGCTGTTTTTTTTGCTTTCTGTATTTTTTGTTTTAGGTTAATCTCATATCTGCATTCCCCGTATCTAATCATTGTGAATGTCAAGCTCTGAAATTTTCGTATAAACAGAAGGCACCAATATACTTGATGCTTACGACTTTGGTTGTTGAATTTTACTTCATATGATTGGTAGCAATGACTGTCATCTGAAACCCTGATGGGAAACTGACATAGCATGGAGGTGGGCACATAGTTAAGGTGCCACATTACATCTCAATTAGATTGGAGTGACCTCATTGTACCATCAAAAAGTTGCTTGCGATAAATGATGCCAATTGATGTTGCTTCCATGACTTTCTGTGCTATTTTCTATGCTCATGTAGTAGCTCTTGTTAAGGCTCATGATCTATATCGTTCTGATTGCGAGCACTTGTTCATAATTTGTCTGTCCATCCATTCATCGGTCAATTTGTGTCTTGAATCTGATATTTTATGCTTGTGAAGCATCTGAACTATTACTTCTGAGGCTAGAGTTAATAATTCTTAAACTTGATTTAGTGCAGGCCTTGGATAAATCTCAGCTTGGGGAGATAGTGCGTGAGAAAGAGCTAAAGCTTGATACTCCAGGTGGGTAGCCACTATAGAAGTATTTGCAATTTTTTTGTTTTGATTTGTTTTCAGATGATCAATCTGCTCAATCTCAATTCAGTTCTTGAAAGTGGAGATAATTGGAGTGTGGGGCAACGGCAATTAGTTTCTCTTGGTCGGGCTTTGCTTAAGCAGGCAAGGATATTGGTTCTTGATGAAGCTACTGCTTCAGTCGACACCGCCACTGATAACCTCATCCAGGGAATTCTCCGGACAGAGTTTAAGGATTGCACTGTGTGCACCATAGCGCATCGTATTCCAACAGTTATTGACAGTGATCTGGTTTTAGTCCTCAATGAAGGTATGTCCAGTTCTCTCAAAGCCCTTTTGTCATTCTTTTTTTTTTCTCTTGATCTTCTACCATAAGAAAAAATAACGCAAGAACAAACAGGACATACAAAACAAAGAGAAAGTCACCGCATCTGACGAGCATTGCTTAAGCCGTTTTAAGATGTCAACTTTTATGTCTCAAGTTAAGAAGCCAGAGGATGCTCAAGGCTTGAACCGTGTATATTTGTTTCTAAGGAACCATTAGAAACATGTTCACATCTATGACTCTGTAGAAGGGTTTCACATCTGAGTTATATGGCTCTTTGACAGAGAGTCAAGAGCATCCTATGCTCATGCCTTTTGATATTGGGGTAGTGCAATTTCTCAAGGGATAGTAAAACCCTACCGCATGGTTCTAATCATTGATTGATGTCTCTAGTGAACCGATCCCCCCGAGTTGAATCCCCTCAACACAGCAAAGTAGAAGATGCCGTGGCCTCATATTTTCTACAATGCAATAGAAAATCCAATAACGGGAAACAAGGATGCATCCACATGGAGACTTCTAACACTTGTTGCCCACAATTGTGATTCCCCTTCACTCTGAATAATCAAGAATGAACTGTTAAACTTTGACAAGGACCTTTTATCAGTAACTTATTACTTGGAAACATGAAGACACCAAACCTTTATTTTTCTTTTTTGGGGTACTGGGGTTTCTCTCTACCAGGACATGCATGCACAATTGAAATCATCAGTGTACTATAAGCAAGATAATCGTTAGCAGTGTCTCTGCAGTTCAGTACTTACCTTCTGAGATTTTCTCCAGGTCGAGTAGCAGAGTTTGACACTCCAGCGCGACTACTAGAGGACAGATCATCTATGTTTCTAAAGTTGGTAACCGAGTATTCATCAAGGTCAAGTGGCATACCCGATTTTTAGTTTGCGCGGCATGCCTGGAGGCCTTAAAGGGCTCGGAGCACCAAGAATGGTAATCCAGACTGGCTCACCCAATTCTCTCCATTCGGCGCTGCTTCATTCGGCCTTTAAGAAAATGGAATCGAGAAGGATCAAAAAGGGGGGTTTTCTGGTTCCAACTTATAACAAGTAGCCGGGAAAAATCACACATAAGTCATTCTTTGGACCGCCAGCGTGGGAGCGTCCGTGCATGCTCGTTTCAATGGCTACCAAAATAAGAAGGATCAGTCGGAGGCATGGTAATAATTAGGAGAGATTAGGAGGGAGGTAATTATTCAGATTTTGCAATAAAGGTAGATTGTAAATTGGTGCATGATGTCGTTCCAATATCGCCACGAAATTTTGTAGTGCTGGATTAGTCATTGTGAATACACTAGAGTCCAGTTCCAGAAAACCCATTTTGAGGGTAGTACAGTACAGGTTTTTTTCAGTCTTTCTGATCTTTTGACCTGCTTAATGTGCTTGGTATGGTAACTGAGTGAATCCGCTTTTTCCTTTCCGATCTTTCGCGCCCGAGACGTGGCCATCATATCGTGGGGGTGACTATTCTTCTTCTCGTCTGGTTTCTGTGTTTTAAGTTTGCATGTATGTCATAAGGTGCGATGGCAACGTCAAGCTGAGCATATACTGTGAAATCCATCATCCGCATGTTCATAGCAGCCAAAGGAAGCTCGGCTTGACTGACTAACCTAACACAGTGGCATGTCCTCGACAGAACTCAAAAGCTAGAACGAATGTATTAGATAGGGTCAATGATGAACTTCCTTCACGACGAAAAGCAACAAACAAAGCTGTGAGAGAGAGAGAGAGTCGTCAATCCACCCAAACGTGGCATATCCTTTGCACGTTCGGTCGGATGGGACGGAACAGAGCGGACAATGAAGCCCGGTGGCATTTCAATCCCCACATCTGATGTTCATAAAGGAAAAGGCATTAACAAACTATCGAGTAGGGAAAAAGGACGTCCTAATTGCTAGCATTCGCATTCCTTGCTGTGCACCGAACATGGTAATCGAATGGCACCATATCTGGAGGGATAAAAACATGATTCGCGGCCGACCTGTCGTTCCGGGGTGTAATGCTCCCACACGGCACGGAATACAGAAGAGAAAACCCGAACCCGACACGACGATCGACTCACATACATGACACGTGTTAAAGAATTTATCATGGTTTGACATGAACACGATTACGACACGCCGACACAAAATTCGCGAGCATCTGAAGAAGAAAAATCATCTCTTTCTTTCTTTCCTTCTAGTCGGAGGCCCATTCCATTGAAGTAAAGCTCGCACTTGCAGGCCCAATCCGAAATCGCTGAGCTTCGCTTCGGTCTCAGTGCTCTCTCTCTTCTCTCTCTCTCTCTCTCTAGCCTCGCTCTCCCTCTGCCTTCCCATTTGTGCAGTCAAGCAGTGGCAGGAGCACGATGCAGGCCATCTCGAGGCGCCTAGGGCACCAATCCTCCGTCCACTCCCTCAAATCAGCCTACCCGCTCTGCAATCACTGTAAGAATCCCCTCATTGCTGCCTCGTCGTCCGGTTCTTCGATCTTCGCCGGCGTTGGGTTCCGATTAGTGTGGAATTCGGAGGTCGCTAGATCGGAAGTTTGGTTTTTTTTTTTTGTCTTGCAGATTGTGGAGCTGATGACGAGCGGTACGCGTCCACGCTCGCGACCAAGGGCGTGGGGCACCTGGTGCGGAAGGGAACCGGTGGGCGATCTTCCGTCAGGTGATTGCACTTTTCCTCTGGTCGTGCTCTTCTTGGTTTTCTGTTTGGTTTTGTGAGGATGATGTGTGAAATTGGGATGGAGGGAGGGTGTTGAGGTGTTTGTGCGTGAATTTTTTTCGCTTTGGGCGATTGCGAAATGCGAGGAGCGTCCGAGGAAGTCCATGCGGTCCTTGCTTTTAGATTATGTGTGCTGCATATTGGGATTGTCGATGCTGATATCTGTGCTGCCGGCATCGATCGTAGCTTGCATTTTCTGTCGGCTTTTAATTGATTTCTAGAGAAACTGTGGATCACTATAGAAGTTCTTATGTGGACCGGTTTTATGGTAAGTGTTTTACGTTAAATCAACAATGTCCAGCAAATGAGGCGCAGCATGAAGTTCATATGGCATTCCAAAAGCTAATTTTGATTTGTTTATCATCTCATGGTTTGTCAAGTTTATGAAGGGAAAGATGAAAAGTTGATTCTTCCTTGGCACAATACTTATGTTTATGTACGTAGTATTCACAGGATAGGATATATGAATTATCACCTTGACCACAAGGTGGAATTCTTTTAGGTCTTGTAGTTAGACAATGTTTAGTTGCAGTGAGCATACCTTTTCACCATGCTCAGTCATCATTATATTTTTCCAATGGGTCTCTACATGTTGCTTGTTATTTGAAGTGTTGTACTTCAGAGCATAAAGATCTTGTTATGGCTAACTTTACAAGAGGTGTTTGTTGCTCATTTGACCTGGAATTTTTGCAGTGGCCTTGTAGCTACTGTTTTCGGAGCAACCGGCTTTCTTGGTCGTTATGTTGTGCAACAACTTGGTGAGTTCACAAAACAGTAGTTTCTTGGACAGTTTATGTCAAGTAAATGTTTGCTGGCACTGGGTATGCTGCATTGTTTTACCTTCATTCACATGGTCGAAGCAGTCAAATTTGGTTGGTTTCAACTTCAAAGTAGGGTTACCTAGGAACTGGTCATTATACTCTATTAAAAATTCTTAGTGGACGTGCTTATGATCAACAATATTCTGGAGTTTCATAGGTGTTAAATTTATCTCTTTTTTCCAGCAAAAATGGGGTCACAAGTGTTGGTCCCTTTTCGTGGCTCAGAGGATTCACATCGTCATCTCAAGTTGATGGGTGATTTGGGGCAGGTACACGCTGATATTTTATGTTCTTCAAAGTTAACATTTTTTTGGTCTTTCACCTTTTTGTCCATCTCAGATATTGAAACATTTGTATCTTTTGTATTTGATTTGCTCAGATAGTGCCAATGCAATTCAATCCAAGAGACGAAAACTCTATCAAGGCAGTTATGGCAAAAGCTAACGTTGTTATAAATCTCATTGGTACTTGCACGTTTCCTTGTTTCTTTGCCTTGTGAATAATGGATTTTCTGTGGTTTCTCTTGCATATAAATCTTCCATTTGGCAGGGAGGGAATACGAGACAAGAAATTATAGTTTTGAAGAAGTGAACCATTCTATGGCTGAAGTACTTGCAACTGTAAGTTCTCAAATTACATTACTAGGCTCCTATGTGATACTTTAGTCCCGTGACAAGGCAATTTATTGGTATGATCTCCTTGTCATTTTATAAAGGATGTTGATGCATTGCGGTAGTGCTCGAATTTCGTTAAAAACTTCTATGCTTTGTGTGACAGCTTTCCTAAGAGTTTTGTTTTATATGCTTCATCTCCCTCCTACTCCTAAACTTATTCTCCCACAAAGTGTGAGGGTCTATTTCCAGTGATTGTGAGTTTGACATGATCAACATATCAGTGTTGTGATTTAAACCCGCCTTCTAATGATTTGACCCCAATGCAGACCTTTGCAAAACCCAACCCCATTCCTTCCTCTTCTTTTTCCTCCCCCAGTCGCTCTGTGTTTGTGTGTATGTATGTGTGGTTTGCCACTGTGAACTATTTTATTGACTTTTTTCAGCTTCTGTATATTCTCTGCCTTATTCGCTGCAGATCGCTAAAGAACATGGTGGTATCATGAGATATATTCAAGTCTCTTGCTTGGGGGCTTCATCTTCCTCCCCATCAAAATTTCTTCAGACTAAAGCTGCTGGGGAGGCAGCTGTTTTGAGAGAGCTACCTGAGGTCAGCAGACTTTTTCCTATTTGAACAACCTGCTGCATTAATAACTACCCAAGCTTTATTTTCCTTTCATAAATCTGTTGCTCAGTTTTCCAATCTATTATTTTCAAATAATACAACCAAGAATTGATGTTGAGACTTGGATGTTGTGAACAACTTTTTATGCAATGGGCAATTGCTGATAGATGCTGTAGTGTTCTGAAATTTTCTAATAGTATGCTATGTTGGAGGATATTGGCAGAGTTTGACGATTGAATTAACTTCCGTTCAGTCATTGTTGCTTTCGAACAGGAAAATGAGTTGCACTTGGGGAGAGTCAAACCCTCCTTGTATGTGAAGGATGTGTACCCTTGTCATTGCTGGGCCTTATACTTGTCTTTGTTAAATCAACTTGCTTATGATGGCATCAAGTAAAATCAAATATATGCCCAAGAAAATAAATTAATAAGTAAAACCAACTGGTTGATTGCCTACTCATGACCAATCCTCTTTGGTCCTTGAGATGGTCTTACAACATTGGTTTTTGGACATTCGCTTTAACTTTTGGCTGGGGATTTTGGGCCTCCCGTAAATAGTTTACAATGTTATAGGGCATAATTGTCTGCTTTTGAATTGCTGGGAATGCTTGCAAGACCCTCAAAGTCAATGAGAGATGATGGTGTCTAATTTCTTAATGAATCGTACAAATACTAGTCTAGGAAGCTGTAGAAGAATTAGTGCCAGACAGAATAGTAGATACCTCAGCTTACCTCAACAAATCAAAAACTGCTTTTGAGTGTTCCACCATGTGGAGCTGTTTTCATTTCCTCCTTTCTTCTTTCTTTAGTTTTTCTAGTTTTGGTACTTCTTTCCAATATATTTTCTTTCTTGTAAAAAGAAAAAAAGAATTATACCTCAAGTTGCCATGTGTTATATTGGTTGGAGGGATACTTGTTTATTAATAGAAGCTATGCACGCTTTGATCTTTGACGATAATTTTCTACTCCCATAAAAATATTGTTAGCTTCAGGGTTGTTGAATGATGTTTTACAGTCTTCATTATACTCTTTCTTGTTTCCAGATGCAGCCCATAAAAAAAACATAGATATATGAGGTTTATCATTTTTTATCAATAGATCTGAAATTTGATATGCAGGCAACAATTTTGAGACCAGCTGTCATGATCGGCACAGAGGATCGTCTTTTGAATAGTTGGGCACGTTTTGCTAAAAAGTACAGCTTTCTTCCACTTATTGGGGGTGGATCTACCAAGTAAGATTTGATTATAGTGATCTATTCACTCATGATGTAATGCCTTGCAAAGAGATTTCTGGATATATACTTTAAATCTGATTTTGCTACTGGTCATTTGATTTTACAGAATTCAACCTGTCTATGTTGTTGATGTGGCTGGTGCTGTTGTTTCGGCCTTGAAAGATGATGGTAGTAGCATGGGCAAAATATATGAGCTTGGTGGGCCCGAGGTTTTTACTATTCATGAACTGGTAATCTCTCTCCATTTTTCTGCAGTTATTAGATTTGAGAATGCTTGCTCACTTTACTGAAAGTCAAGCACCCTGCAGGCGGAGCTAATGTATGATATGATCCGTGAATGGCCTCGTTATGTATCAGTTCCTTTCCCCATTGCTAAGGTACTACCGCAGAATAACCAGTTCCTTCATGTTGTATCTCGATGAGGAAAATGCATGGAACAAGAACTATAGATAACCTTCCTTTCCTATTTGTTATTTCAGAATGTATGTGCTTGTTAACATGGATGCATGAATCAATTAATTCCAATTATCTGCAAGTCCACTATGCTTAATCATTTCTGCCAGATTATGTTTTCAAATGCATGAAATAAATGTTCACAAGGTCCCATTTGCACAGTTTAAGTACATTCCCAGATAAATCGGTAACACACACACACACATATATTCTCTTCTCTGACATTACCTTATCAAAGCATTTTTCATGGCATGCACACTGCTGTGTTCCATAGTAATGCTGAAGCAAGCATATTCCATTGATGAGTGCTTTTGATGCATTCTGAATCACTTGCCAACTTTGTTTATGATAGATGGTAGGAACTGATTACTTATGATAATACTCTTTTTAGCATTGTTATGGCATGGTGCTATTTTCAGCTGCAGATATTTGGCACCGACGATGTCGCATTTAAATGGTCTCTCTTAGGATTTTTCAGCCATATTGGCTCATTGATGTAACTTCTGCAGATTTGATAGAAGAAAATAAGTTGAATACTCAACTATTGGGCAGAGTTTCAACTGATGATGTTTATTTTGTTATGCCATCTGAAATGATTGCTCTGGCTTACTGTACAAGAAAAGGACTAGTTCTGGCCTTTAATTATTCTCTTCTCATTCTTTGTTTGCGGAGCTACTTAATCGATCTGACTTAATTCTAACTCGTAGCATCTTCGCGATTTCAGGCCTTTGCGACGCCTCGAGAACTACTACTGAAAAAAGTTCCATTTCCTTTGCCTAATCCTGACATCTTCAATCTAGATCAAATAAATGCTCTTACTGAGGATACAGTTGTATCGAAAGATGGTTAGTCCTCTATGTATTTAGTAACATTCATTGTGTTTGCCAGATTAACTTCTTTCATTGCATAATGTATGTGTTATAATCATATGCGTTGGCCGATTTTGCAGCTCTGACTTTCAATGATCTCGGAATTGTGCCGCACAAGCTGAAAGGATACCCTGTCGAGTTTCTTATCTCATACCGTAAGGGTGGCCCGCAATTCGGCTCTACTGTCAGTGAAAGAGTATCTCCAGATGCATACCCTTGAGGCATTTTCACTGTATTATTTCTGAATGTTTCTTTTGCCAAAAATTCGGCAGAAATCTTTCAACATGTTTTTTCCACCTCAATTTCTTCATAATAGCAGAGAGATTCTGATTGGAAGAACACTACGCGTCTCCCGCAATCAAAAGATGATGTGTCAATAAGATTTTGGGGAACATGATGTCTCAACCTCATTCCAGTAGTTTGATTTTGTAAATTATGGAAGGCATTGGTTGTGTTTGGTAACCATTCCGTTCCGGAAACAATTTCTACTCAGAAATGATATTTTTTATTTTGTTTCCGGAAATAATTTCTAAGTATTTAAAGGCGTTTGGTAACTATCCAAAGTTTCTATTCCTGAAATAGAAAAAGAACAGAAATGTGTTTGGTAACCGATCAAAATTTCTTTTTATGAACAATATTTTAATAATAATTGGAATTTTTTAATATTTTTTTTCTTGTTCTCCTTCCTTGGCCCATAGTCAGTGAGGGCGTCGCGGCCATTACCCGAGCCGCGAGCCACGAGGGCGGCCCTCACCGACACTCACCGGAGCTCAACATGCTCTCGTGGCGTCAAGCGACGGTGTTGCGGGCGATGCAGGATCCTAGCGACGGTGTTGCGGGCGATGCAGGATCCTAGAAGTGGAGAGATCAATCCTTTCAGCTGAAGTGACGGAGGTATTCCCGTCTCGTCTTTCCTCCTCCCTCCATAATCGTCCGTTGATCGCCCGAGCCCGCGAGGGCAATCCCTGGCAGCCCTTGCTCAGGCCGTGAGGGTTTAGCCCTTGCCCTCGTCGGCCATAGGTCAGGAAAGAAGAAGAAGAAAAAGAAAATTTTCTGTTTTGATTCTTTTCTTTTGTTCTAGAATCAACTTTGATTCTTGATTTTGTTCTTATCAAACGGATTTATGTTCTTTTTGGTTCTGGGGAATAAAATAATAGAATCGGGCATTATTTAGCCGGTTACTAAATAGGCGCCCTTAGCCTCTTCTAGTTTTGATCCTTTATTGAGAGCTAATCAGCCGCTTTGTCTTTCCAACCAATTCGATGAGAGTACTTTAAGTTCATATAATGGCTCTTTTGGACATTGGGGCAAAGTTTCTAATAATAATGATGGGCAGATTTGCGTCGAAAAAACAGATTTACTTTCAATTCGATAATTTGTTTGGTTCGGCGGCTGGAGAGAGAGGAAACAGATCAAAGACAAGAAGATTGCTGTGAATGAGCAACTGAAGTTAAACCGCTAATGGAAACAGTAAACAGGATAAATCATAAACACGGAAACATTCAAGCGGATGGTCCAATGACCGAACCGCCCTCTCCATCTAACGTGCTTTCTTTAGTCGCCAGTCTCTTGGCTCATCTTCTTGTGATAAATTTTTAGGAGCAAGAGTGTGCTCCAAGTCATTCAAGGAAGCATCAAGGTTTCCTTGTAATTGGAGCAAAGTAAAAATTGCACCAGACTAATTGCCTTCTGCAAGATGAGTATAAAGGGAACCAGACACAGGCTATTGACGGGGAGTGAGATCCGACTGCTGTACGATCTGGAGAACTCCGGCGATGGCATCAGATACAAGCCGTGCTTCTTTTGAACATGTCAAATTGGAAGAGACGGGTTTCGGGGCAGCGATGTTCGTGCGCCGTGGCTGTGCGGGCGAGTCCAAAGACAGCTGCTGCATCAACATTTACATAAACAGCAACGTCCAGGGGGTGAGCAATTCCATTTTGGTCGGAAGTGAGGTGAGAATGGGCGACCCGGGCGTTTCTCTGTACTTTGGAGACATAAAGCTGGCAAATGGGCACAAGAAGAGGAGGAGATATCAGAGAATTAAGTGGAGGTTTGGGCTCGGTAGTTTTGTGGTCTCGTTACTAGTGTTTGCATTGCTCCTCTTGTTGCTGCTTCTGATATTGTAGTCCAACACTTTACCGCAAAAGAAGAAAGAACTATTCATTCTCGATTTTTGTTTCTTTCTCCTTTTCAGTTTCTTTTCGTGTGCTCTTATCATTCTCGGTCTCTTCTCTTGGTGTCGAATCACGTTTCGTTGCTGTTAAGAGTCGAGACCGTCTCTCCAAGCTGTATCTGTTCATATTCAAATCACAGTTCTAGAAAAGAAATTAACTTGAGGCTACATACGTGAAGATGAACGGCGGTGCACGTGCTTTTGGGGGTTTGGAGAAGAGAAAGTGCTTGTTTTTACCTTCTTTTTTATGACGGTGATTCTCGAAGCCTTCTACAACACCTAAGTGATCGAATCGGGTCACCGCCTTTAAGGAGCCTATAAATGTTTTCTTGACATGTACCAAAAGTCAATAGACCACGTTAAACAAATTAAAAGTTCAAAGACTAAGTTCATAGATCATATCGAACAAATTAAAAGTTCAGCGATCACATTACACATTAAGCCAAAACTCATAGGACTGTTTATTTCATTATCCCTTTGTTTTACTCTTTTGTCACTCTCCCACAACATTCTTCTTCTACATAACATCAAACACAAGGCACCTAGACCATCATCTTCTCCCTCTCTTCTGTGATGAGATGGTGAAGTCAATGGCCAATGGCAACGGACGAATCGCCCGCCTCTGTTACGTAGCTTCCTTCTCTGCTCTTTTCTGGGCTTCGCTTCTCTGCTTCCGTTTCCGACTTCTCAGCGGTCAATCCGCCCTGCATCCACTCACATCCCCTGTTCCCGCAACTCACAGCGGTGTCCCTCTACCTGATGACGATAATGACGGCGGCGACACCGACATAGACAACGACAAGTTTCCGTTCATGGAAGCTCTAAGAACAGCCGAAAACAAGACCGACCCTTGTGGTGGTCCCTACGTATACGTCCACAAATTGCCTCCGAGGTTCAACAGCGACATGCTCGGGGGCTGCAAGAACTTGAGCCCCTGGACCGACATGTGAAATTTTACCGCCCACTCCGGTCTTGGCCCTCCGATGGTGGACAGGTCCGACCGTGTCTTTTCTGGTGCTGCTGGATGACATGCGACTAACCAGTTCGCGGCCGACGTCATCTTCGATGCCCGGATGAAACAGTGAATGCCTGACTGACGACTCCTCTGTGGCGGCTGCCATTTTCGTGCCGTTCTATGCAGGGTTTGACGTCGCCAGGTACCTATGGGGCAGCGACAATGTGACAGTCCGCGATGCCACTGCACTCGATTTGGTGGAGTGGCTGGTGAAGAGGAAGGAGTGGGAAATCATGGGAGGGAAGGACCACTTCCTCGTCGCCGGACGAACCGCATGGGATTTCCGGTTCCTGACGGACAAGGACTCGGACTGGGGGAACAAGTTCCTGCTCCTGTCAGCCGTTAGGAACATGTTGGCGCTTGTGGTTGAGTCAAGCCCGTGGGACTTGAACGACTTGGCGATACCCTACCCAACCAACTCTTAACCCCAGAAAGACAACGACGTCCTTGCTTGGCGGGACACGATGAGGAAGTCAGAGAGGAAGTGGCTCTTCTCGTTTGCAGGCGGGCCCCGTCCTGGGAGCCCAAGGTCCATCCGGGCACGGATCATCGACCAGGGCAACGGCTCGCAGTATTGCAGGCTCATGCAATGCAGCATTGGGCTCAGCAATCTCATATGCCATTCACCGAGCAGTGTCATGAGGGTCTTGCAGGGGTTGCGGCTCTGCCTGCACCCTCAGGGGGATTCCTACACCCGAAGGTCAGCCTTCGACTCGATCCTGGCAGGCTGTATACCTGTCTTTTTCCATCCCGGGTCTGCCCACACTCAATACACATGGCACCTGCCGAAAGAACATGCCAAGTACTCGGTTTTCATCCCCAAGGACAACATAAGGAAGAAGAATGCGAGCATCGAGGACAGGCTCGGCCTGATCCCACCCAAGAAAGTGGAACCAATGAGGGAGGAAGTGATTAGTCTTATCCCGAGGATAGTGTACGCGGATCCGAGGGCAAGTTGGAGTCTGTATAGGACGCATTCGACGTGACCGTGGAGGCACTGATTGAGAGAGTGACAAGGCTGAGAAGGAACATGGTTGCTGGACTCGCTGAATAAGATCATTTCAGGGAGGGGAATAAGCAATGGGATGGCTTTTTTTCAGAGCCCAGGGATTGAGAATTGGAGATTCTGAGGAATTTCGTAAAGACAATCAGTGACAGAGAGGCCCGCCAATCTTAATTCGCAGAATCGTCATGGAACAACAGAGGTTTCGCCCTCATTTCGTCATTGCCAAGGCCTTGTTTGGGAGAATGGCACTGCCTAAACTCATTCTAGTTGATAAGCCATTGAAACTTTAAGAAACGGTAGAATCCGAACTGGTTCTATTTAAAAGACATGGAAAATGTATACGCTGTGCACTGTGATTGACTCTGACGGCCGTGCGTTAAAAATTCAGACTTGAGCTCATTGACCCACTAACACTGTTATCACCACCATGTCCATTCAAGAAGAGAAGCAAACAGAGAAAGCGAGAGACAGTAAAGAACATTTTGCAGTTGTTGCGGTAACAAAGTCTTTCCTCGATTTCCTTTGTGAAGGTCTGCATGAGCCGTTCAACTTCAGCTTCAATGACCATTTTCAGATGAACTGACAAATATTCAATATTTCAAGCTTCCATCTTGCAACATCTGGGGTCAAATAAGGACTGCACAACTCACTAACAAAAATTCATCAGTTGATTCCTCATCAACTCCCCCTTGATTCAAGTGTTCTCGAGAGATCTTACATCAATTGCTACCAATGCAAGGAGAGGAGTTTCTGATGCACGGTGAATTCAAATACAATGAAGCATGCAAGGAAATCGTACATTCAGGATATTGCTTTTGCAAGAGCCAATATGCGCGGGAACAATTTCTTTAAGTATTGCCTTGACTACACTACCCAAAAACAGGATGCCAAATGGAGACGAATGGGGCCGTCAGAGAGAAGAAATGAGGAGTTTCACTTTTTGATAAATTGCAAGCCGTTCTCATTGGAATATCGCTCCATGAATCTCATGAATCTGTCCCACTCTCTAGGCGACCGCATTATGTACTTAGCCTCGATCCCCGCTGGTTTCCCATTGACAAATTTGGCACTTACATCAACTGACTGAAGAACCCCTTCATCATCGATCATGTAAAAGCCGGTGATCTCACCAACATCACCGGATGCGTCAAAGACAGAGGGCTGCTCAAACCTGAATATAGCAACACCATTCGTACCGTCTCTTGATTTGGTCAGCCTAACATCAGGAATTGTCTGCTCGTCTGTCCCTTGAATGAACTGAATCGTGGGTTTTACCATCATAATAACAGGTCGAGATGTCTTCACATTCGCTTTTAAAGAGGCCTGTTGAGTGTGAGGCAGATGCAACGTCTGGCCATGGAATGCAGAGCTCGCACTCCGATGAAGAGGTGAAGATATGAAACCTAGAGAACAAAGCAGGACATCATTGGAATTATCGCAATAATGACAACTAGCTTCTTTCTACCACCTCAAATATTTTCAAGCTTCTTGACATATTTCAAATATTTTAACAGTTCAATCCCAAACTTTAGATTGCTCAAAACATAGACAAAGTTAAGACCGAGCTGGTAAGGTACCGATCCACAGAATACCGTGTTTCAGGTTTTTCGCTTAATGATCTTCAAGCATAAAAACTTTTCCAGCTACTGTACATTCCCTTCTCGTGCTTATTTTGGAGTATCTATCAGCTGGTTCCATTACATGATATGCATTAAAATTCGTATAATAATACTCTGATCCTACTGAATGTATGTTATGTAATATAGAAGAGAAAGAAGAACTGCTCTACTAAATGTGATACGCTTAAAACAGAGTGAGATAAGGACCAAACCATGACTCTGTCAGACTTAGTCACAAGGAAACTGTCATAAGATTTTGCCATCAATAGTGACAAATTGTAGAACGGGTTTCGAAACCAAAATGATTAAAGCCTTTTCAGCTAAGAATAGCAGAGTCTTGTCTTTTAGGATTCTTAGAGGAAATGGATCCATAAGCAAAGGATACAATGCAACTTCACCGAAAGTACTTCAACACCTTTCAAGAGTAAAAACAGAAAAGCCTAGGTGAAATTCTAACAATGTAATTAGGTTCCCTTCATTAAGTAGATCATGTTAGGAGTCCAAAACATTGGGTGACACCAAGTACAACCAATAGGTGCTTTACTCCTCAGCGAGAGGGAGAGGTATAAAAACGACTCACGGTCTTACTCTCCAGACTGATCAATCAATGAGGATTGATGATCGACCACATTAAATGGACAATGATCTGTTAAGGAAAGTAACTCCATTTTAATAGTCACAACTTCTATCAGTTGTTTGTACTTTGGGGTAGTTTCAATTTGCCCTTTTTGTTTTCTTGGTACATGAATTCATTCTCCGAGCACTTGCCATCCACCATTCAAAAGAGTTCTCCCTTCCTGAGATGTAAATTTCGTATTAATCGAAATTTACAGCCATCATGCAAATCTTAGACTCAAGGAGGCTTACAATATGCACAAATTCACATAAATTTTAAACAATCTTTGTAAGAAGAAGTATTCAATAAGAGAGTATTATGTTTTTAAAAGTCCAGTTTTAGAATTATCCTATTTCTACCCCTTGAGGCGAGGGGAAAAAATTCCAAGCATAAGGCATCGTATAAGGCTTCACTGTTGCTATTTTCATTTATGTTAGAGCAATGTCTTTTTTTTTTCGATAAGTATGTTTGAGAAATGTCGATACTCTTAAAAAGCAATCATCTGCTGCAATGGAGCCGCATTACATTCGCACTATATTTCTTTCAGAAGCATCCAGAGTCCTTACTTACCCACTATATGATCAACAAAAATGCGAAATTCTCATTCGGCTAACACCTCAAGCTCTGACATTTCTTGGTTCACCAGCACTTCTTGCGGCCTCTCTTGAATTGAGTTAAAAAAGTGTACAGGAAATATTGAACATCTTCTCAGATGAGTAGAAATCTTATTCCTTTTCATGAAAACATACACATCACATAAGAATTGAACCGCATTGAAATAGTCATCAGATACTGAACACAGAAGCACAAATGTAGTCATAGAAGATAAAGGGGACACTCCAAAAATCACTTTGAGGAAAGCTGTACTACCACGTGTGGCACTCAAATTCTCAGAGAGGAAGGGAAGTGTAGGAAGAAGAGTGAAGAATTTACCTGAGTGGGTGCGTGGCTGTTGCTTATGGTAGTGAGAGACTGGGGAAGAGAAGGAAAGAGACTGAAGAGATGCCATTGATGTGAGAGAGGGAGAGGGAGAGAGAGGGAGAGATGTGTCTTAAAAGGGTGTGGCATATGGGAGGAATTGTCTTGTTGTAGAATTGTCAACCATTCACTCACTTGAAAGACGTTCTCAGCTTTTGGATAGATTGAGCGGAGAAGATAAAATTTGGCCCCTGGGATTCTCTGTTCAGTGTGCACCATGCACTACCTGGATAAACAAGGGGCTTTTGAGATTTGGGCCATCTCATTGGGCCTGGAAATTTTAGGATTCTCATATTGGCCAAAAATTCATGTTCCATCAGGACCAGCCCACCAGGGCATGGACACCTAGTCACTGTCGGACGAAATGGTACCCACTAGGAGTAATCGGTCCCCGGGCAATCCGATTCCCACCCAAAAATCAGAAACCATACCAAAGGGACTAGATCGCAGTTTTTGGAACCTAAAATCAGACCGGTGTCCCCTTGGATCTCATCAAACCTGCTCGATCTGGTTCCCGAGTAGGACAATGGAACCGGTGGCATATTCGGGTTTTTTTTTTTGGTTGTCGTTAATGTTCAAGATGAAATTGAAAATGTTTTTGATAATCAAGGCATTTTTACAATCAATGAATTATGTATAACATTGTAGGTTTCATAGAGATTTTTCTAATTTGTGGCAAAATTTGGTTGGAATGAGCAACTATTGTTGTGTTTTGATTTTCTCTTGTCATCTTCCTCACGTGCAAACCTAGTCACTCCATCCTCGAAGGGTCTTCCTTTGTGAAATGGGAGATAGATTAGGGTTTTTTTTACAGATTTTTAAGAAATAAAAAAATTAAAATTTAAAAAAAAAACAGTCCAGTTTGGATGATTCGAGTGGGTGGTTCCACACTTGAAGCTGGGAACCAAACCAAAATTCATTGGTTCTAATTTTATAAAACCATATTGGTGCTCCCAGGAACCGTGCAAAATCGACCGATCCGGTCCAATATGGGCGATTCCTTTTGCTCACCTCTAGTGCCCCTTGATCCAACCATGCTAGCAAGTAAATATTCGTGATTCACTATAATAGTTGGTAATTTAAAATAATCAAACAGTTGTTGATACTCCCACAAAGGGTTGATAACTTACTAACACATTATAATGATTTTCAATACTTTCGAAAAATGGTTAATAACTTACTCAAATGTTATATGTTAAATAAGTTATTGATCAAAATCTAATTTACCAACAGGGTTTTGAAATGTATCGACGATTTTAAAGAATTACCACTGCAGAATAACGTTCCATATTTTTAGGGAAAATTTCAATTTGATACCCAAAGTGGGGTTATTTTCTCAAAAAGGGGTCCAAAGTGGACAAAGTGTCAAATAAGGGCCAATGCCGCCTAATCGCTCCTCAAAGCTGAAAATTCCAAAAAGGACCCAAAGTGGACCTATTTTCTCAAATAAGTACCCAGAGTGGACTTTGTTTCAAATAAGGACCGTGGAACCATTGTCTCAATAAGGACCAGCGAATTGGCTAAATCAATCTCAAATAAGGACTGAGCTCTCGGTCGGCCAAATATTCGCCGGCCGTGAGCTGGGTGACATTTTTACTACCGGAGTTTGGGCAATTTTGTCCAAAAAAATATGGGAAAAGATTAACAAATCCTAAAAAACAAACAAAAAAACCCGGTTCTTCTACGTTCTTCCCTGTTCCTCGGTACCCATTCACTACGATGTTTGAGATCCAAATTTTCTGTTCGTGGAGGCGCCAATTGAAAAACACCAAGAAACCCCAAGCGCTTCATCCTTTGTTCGTGGAGACCCATATTCTCTACTCGTTTTTCTCTGTTCGTGAACGGTCGAGGCCCACCTTACGTTCAATCGAGGTCAGTTTTCCCATCTTCTTAGAATTTACTCACGTTAAACCAACAAAATGTAGACAAAGCTCGTGTACAAAGCCCGATTCTCCATCATCTTTTCCCAGTTTTGCCATTTATTTCGTTATGCACTCACGTTTAACCGAGGTCAATTTCGTTCAAATTGGTGCAGCCGATCCTTCGTTCGTCCAATAGAAAGCGATTGTGGCTCGTTGACGCAACATGGCAACAAGGTGTAGGCATGTGGTGGAATATCATACGGATGGCAGCGATGACAGCGATGGTAGGAGAGAGTTTGTTTATGTGTTGTTTTTGTTTGTTTTGACGGATTTATGAGTGAATGTCTCCTTTTGTTCGAATGAATGCATATGAGCTGCGTTTACTGTGTATTTTTAATTGGATATGCTGCCGTCATGGTCCTATGTGCTGGTGGTGGTGGTCCCTTTTTGCAATTTTTAATGCTTTTTTGTTTGTTTTTTTAGTGTATATTTTGTCATTTACGGCCAGAGCACGTAGCATTCCTGAAATCTAAATGTTGGTTTTGAGCTATAGTACATTGATCATACCAATGATAAAATCACTCTGCATAGCAATAAAAGATGTTGTTTTTTGATGATGCTCTTACATTGGAGGCCTAATAAACATAACCATTGGGGTAATTGACCGTACTTGGGATACAATCCATCACCATAGCAGTAGCACTTTTGTGCCCACATGAGTCCGAATGTATATTACCACTTAACTAGCATTGAAAACATTTCCGGTCCATGATGCACAATTGTTTTTGTGACAAACGGTATCCAATAAAAGTATGGTACGTAGTCACCAGTGTGACTAGTTTTCTTTCATTAGTCATAGTGTGGGAAGAAGAAGAAAAGCATCATTGACGCTAGGGACAGGCCTATCATCACAATGCTTGAAACTATAAGAGTGCAGCTCATGGAAAGGATTCATAAGCAAAGGGATGGGATGACCAAGTACACTGGTGTGATCTGTCCTAATATCTAGAAGATATTAGATCTTCAAAAACAGTTTTCAGCATCATGGATTCCCACTTGGAATGAAGAGGATGAATTTGAATTGAGTGGGCCATATGGAGACAAGCGAGTTGTTAATATTAGACATAGATCTTGTAGCTGTAGAAGATGGGACATCAGCGGAATTCCTTGCTGTCATGCTGTGGCGGCTCTTATATACACGAGGGAAGAGCCTGAAAAATGGATTCACACAAGTTTCAGTAAGGAAACATTCATGCAGCTTTATAGTCATGTTGTGCATGTTGTAGATTCTAAGGACACGTGGCCTGTTAGAGAGCCATTACTCCCACCAGATGTGCCCAAGCAAGTTGGCAAAAGAAGAAACAAAGAACAAAATCAGTGAATGAAACAACTGATAAAAATTGAAGACAAGAAAGAAGAAAGTTGTGCAAGAGCCCGTGGGAACAAAGTTGAAGAGACAAAATACCACAATCACTTGTGGAAAATGTGGTGGGTTAGGCCATAACAGGTATCATTGTAAGAACCCACTAGTAACATCAGCAATAGCAGCATCAGCCCCATCAGCTTTTATAGTTGCCTCATGCTCACAGGATGTGGTAGAAAACACTCCCTCAGGTCCAACATCCTAACCTAAGATGATTGAATTTCTTGTGTCAATTTTCAGCAACATTTCAAGCTCAATATCATCTATGGGAAGTGAGAAGATGTAAGTATTCATTTGTGCTTGACTTTGTTATAAAACTATTTTTACTTGTAATTGACTTTGATTTGACTAATGATTTATTTTGTGATTTAACTGTAGGTAAAGAGGAGGATATGAGGACCTCAATATGAAAGTGGTCGAAGACGAGCAACTTTTTTGAGATATGCAAAGCAACAAGACGAACAACTCAAACTCCTTTTGTTTCACTATTAGTTGATATGAATGAATTTGTTTTGGAAGCATCTTAAAGTTAAATTATGTATAGGTAAACTGTGTTGGGATGTTACTCTTTGCCATCATATAATGTGAATCAATTCAGGTTTATCTAATGCTATTTAGTTTGATATGGAATGTCCCAAGACTTCATTGTAGTACAGGCGTACTAACAACAAGTTTAAATGAGCTCATCAGTCCAACAAGAAAATATAGAACAGCAACATCAAAAAAATGACTTGCAAAAAGCAATGAGGACAACAGTCCAGCAACACACCAAGTTAAAATGCCCCGTATTATAGGCCAAAGAAAAAATATAGAACATCAATGGGCTCTGTCAAAGCTTGAGCTCTGTACACGACAAAATACAATAATAGCCGATATAAATGAAACCAAAGATAGCTTGCAGTACCAAAAAGCATCATCATTGAACACTTGAATTGAACTACATTATTTCCATTACAAAAGAGACACCAACATACGAGTTCACAACTTTAATATGTGCGCACAACGCTACAAGAAAGAGAGGACAACAAATGAGTTTACAAAACAACCTCCCACTGATCATATGCAGTGTTCACAACCCATCCTACTACAACCAATCTAAGGCACCCAATGAAAGTTGGAAGACTTGAACAGTGGGCTGATGAATTGATGCGATTCTAGTTCTTCGATTTCATCTCTTTGGTCCAAGCTTTCGCTCATGACCGATAGGATGTTGCACTTGTTAAGTCCACGGTCGGTTTGTCGAGGAAGAGAAGCCTCAAAGCGGGTAACAATTTCCAGGAAAATGTTAACTCTTCTCTTTTGACCATCACTTATTAGTCCCTTGGTCCCCCAACCTCCAATTCTTGTGTCCATATGGTATCTTGCAGTCCCATTTCCCTTATTGCCATTTTTGCTCTTTCTTTTCTTCTCGGATACTGGTATGGAGTCTCGGGAATTGTGTCCACGGTATGGAGTCTCTCACGTTAGCGTTGTTATCAATACATCGTCTTGCATCACATAAGCCCTGAATTCATAAAAATAGAGAACCCCGATGAGTGATGAGAAGTAAAATATTGTGCAACATGCTAACGGAACCATGTGGTAGACAAGCTAAGTCTAGTCATTTACCAAAAATACGGGGCAATTAACCCTCAAGAGTCAAGCACTTTAGAGTTAACGGGACGAAATTTTGGAAAGAAAGCCGCATCAGGGAACTATCTCAGATTAGGACAATGCATTATCACGTAACATACTTGAAACAGATGGAAACCTATAAAAGGAATACTCGAATTGGTTGTGCACAAGAGTTATTCCTCCAAATGCTGCCGAGACTTGGATGAACGTGAATCTCCACCCAACCCTCTGGAGATGGAGCAGGTC